TATATGAAATCTGTATGAAACTCCAAGTTATGACGTCATAGTATTTTTGAGTCAAATATCCTACTGATTTTTTAAAAAGAAGCTTAAGTATTTCGATTATTTTTGTGTATCGACATATCCCGACATATAAAACTTCGTTCACATGTCGAAGCACAAAGCTATTGTAGTTTCACGACGGTGTACTGTCTCTTTGAGTATTTCAAAAGCAAAATCAAAGCAAATAAAAAAAAATTGCTCTTTGATCTCAAGACATCGTTGAGAATCTTCATATTAAAAGTTAAGTAAGAAAACTAAAAAAAAATGGTTAAGAACAAATTACAAAAAAAAAAATTGCAACTAACCTTGATTTACATCTAACAGTCTGGTCATTAACCTTTATTTTATTATTAATAACTTAAAAACAACCTTATAACCTTTTAAAAATATATATCTTAAAAACAATCATCATCCATTTTCTATAGCGGCCATCTTTAAAATTCTGACAGCTCAACATTATAATTCAAAATGGCGTACTCCACTATGTATTTATTACGCAAAATTCTGTAGGGTTAATTGAGGCTGTTATGCTAATAGGTCTTACGACAATAGACTAGAAAATCTAGCGTCTAACACTATATTCTTTTGAAATGGTAATTTAGGCGTTATTTACAACTTTCGTTTAGTGACTTTGCCCACAGTACAAAAGGGTAAAAAGAAAGTTATATGTTATTCTAGACTATAATCTATCTTAATGCTAAATATCATTCAGTTATGTTCAGTAGTTTTTACGTGAAAGTGTAACAAACATGCAATTTCGCGTTTATAATTGACCTAGCGAACCGTCCCGGCTTCGCCACGATTGCAATGCTGATACTAAATTTCTCCACTATTTAATGGATGTTATAATACATATCAACCTTCCTCTTCAATCACTCTATCAATCGAAAAAAAAACACATCATAATCCGTCGCGTAGTTTTACAGATTTAAGCATACATAGGGATATAGGGACAGAGAAAGCAACTTTGTTTTATACCAAGTGTAGAAATTAGTAGGATTTTTACACGGCTAAACGTAAAAAAGTACATAATATTTAGCAGTTAAAATGTGAATAAGTATATAAAAATTGCATGTTTTTCGTCAATAGAAAAATAGAGAGAAAGTTTATCATTTTCTCCAGACATCTAAGATCAACAGCTAGGATAAATATAACAGTTTAAAAAGTTCTGGTTAATCAAAAAGCAAGTCTTAGGTATGTTTAGGAAGGCTCATACGGTACCCGAAGGGGGTTTCAAAGACTTTTTTAAAGTAATTAATAGTAGTCGTCTAATATCTACATATATATATATATAAAAATGGATCGCAAAATGTCGGTAAGCGCATAACTCAACAACGCCTGGACCAATTTTGCTAATTCTTTTTTTGTTATGTTTGTTATTATCAGGAGAAGGTTCTTATCAAAGATAATATTAGAAAAGCAGGGGAGAAAATTGGGAAAAAATGATAGCGAGATACCGTGCGAAGCGGGGGCGGGCCGCTAGTGTTACTTAAATGAAAATTTATTGTTCGTGAGTTTAAGTTTTAAATAAATCTTTTTCAACAATCTTATTAATTTCCATGTTGGAGCTGTCAGAATTATCAACCTGTAAAAAATTCAAATTCAAATTCTCATTCTGTTTCATCATTCCATTTTTGAATTGATTCGAAGTAGACATATTGGCATCCATTTTGAATTGGTACCTAGTCTCCAGTAATTATATATGTTGGACAAGTTTGATTGATTTGAATTGATTTTTTATTGAAGATAATTAAATGAAAATATAGAGATTTTTTTATTGCATACAAGATTAGCGTTTGGTAACGCATTTCTTAAAAACTTGTCCGACTTATCATTTTGATATTACCACAAAAAAAAATCAAATCGCAATTCCAAATTCGAATCACCATACTTACCATAAACGAGGACATAAGACGTAACCATACAACTACTTTACTCATCAAAATTCCCTTAGACGTAAACTGTTGCGTTTCAAAAACGGAAATGTTTGGAATTTTTGAGATGTGCCGGAAGCAAGTTGCTGCTATCATTCTGCCGCTTGTGTTGGCATCCCTGACGGGGTACTCCTCGGAAGCACTTAGCACATTCGGAGTGTCGAACACGAAGGCGCCGTCGGCGGCCCCAACACCACCTCCCGGTAAATATATTTTTTTTATATAATGGGACATACCACGATGCACTTCCACGGATTGGATTTAGTCAAACCCCACTGAACACTTTCAAAAACATCTTTCTTCAAACAAAACCCCACTTTTTGCTACACATTTGTGTCATGTCTTTAAGTGTTAGACGCATGACGTTACCTACTTTTTAATAGTTACAGGTATGGAGGATATTTTTTGTCCCATTATATGAAAAAAAATGTTTGCCCATGCACGCAGGCGATTTAGTCACTGAAGGCGACGTTAGCTATAAACATTGCAGGTTTAATACAAAATAACCTGCAAAGTACAGAATACAAAAATAACGTCGGAAACTCTAAACAAACTGTATATATTGTATATTAAGCCACTTTTTACACGACCTCCTTTTCATGACACTTCCAAATTCAAAATTGACATTGACAGTTCATTTTGCAGTGTTGGTAGAACAGAATGTGGCAAAGGAAACCTAGTATTATGCCTATAATTGTATTTTTCTGGTTAATTGGACAATGTTTCGGTGCGTTTAGTCCGGTTTTTGGCGTTATTAAAACTGAATCGCCATTAAAGACACCATCGCCTACTCCGCCGTCGGGTAAGACTATTTTTTTATATAATGGGACCTCCATTTACTTTTTTTTTTCTTAATAAATTTACATGTACAGACTAAATCAAAATTCTTGTATTTCTTTTGTTATTTGCCTGTATATATTTGCGTCATTGATATTTAGACTTTTAATAAAAATTTGTGTGTATTAGAAATTGAAAAAAGGATATATATACGATTGGTTATTTTTGCTTTGTTATGTGAATAGACGTTTAATGTGAATAATAATCTTTTACGTTTAATTTGTCTCATTATACAAACTATTTCGGTCGGGCCGAAAAAAATAAAAACGTTCAGACTTCAAGGTTTTTACACGATAATTCACTTAATCTGTCAAATGTGTGTAGATAATAAATATAAATGAATAAATTTTTCTATAACGTTCTATACAATTTCTTATTTAGTGGATTATCGTGTATTTATAAAATAGATGTACACTTCCCACTAAAAACATTAGAAAAATACACACAATTCCTCTTATTACTAGGCTTAAATTAACTCTTAAATCAACAGCAACAAGAACGGAGAAGAAGCTTTTTTACACATTTAATATTTCTCTAAAAAATACAATCAATTTTGCAACATAACCAAAATAGCGTTTAAAAAAAAGTATGTTTGCTGTCAATAAAACCTTCACGGTCAAATACCAACATAACAAAAAAAATAATAGACTTACATACAAAAAGCTTAGTAATTCAGAGGATTGACACACGACACACAATAGTGCCTTTTATTCAACAAAAACAACATTATATTTATTTGGGCTGACTTGCAAACTTCTAGCGGTTACGCTCAAACAAAACACAGCTTTACAACACAATTTTTTATACAGACTAACGAGTCAAGCTGCTTCAAATTTCTTTAACAGATTTTATATTTTGGATATGAAATTGAAAATCTATTAAAGAATATTAACAATATCGTAGCTTGATAAAGGAAAGGAACGTCTGTACAACGACATATCACAAACTGTCAAAAACGAATTGGCGCCATAATTTTGACATTTGATATTCCATAGACAATAATACTTTTTACTTTTGCCATACAGTTTAGGTATCTTGTTAACGAACCTACTTTGTTATAATAACTATCTGAGACAGATAGAACAGTGTGAAAATGTGGCACAAAAGGCATGCGTTCGCCATTGTGCCCGTTATTATAGTCGGTTGGCTAAACATACAGTGTAGTGAGGGGTTTGGCATCTCATCCTTCGGGAAAGCTAATACCGATCCACCGAAGCCAGCAACGACATCTGCCGCACCCGGTAAGAATTTACTTACATACATAAATCATACATACAGACAAAACAAGCTTCCATACAATCATACACACATACATTACGCCTGCTGTCTTAGGCTGTTAATTAAAAAAAATGGCTTAGCTGTCATCTTTTAGGTTAGTTTATCTGTGGTGTTGCATGTTTAGGAAGGAAAATTGACAGATGTGTCTCAACAATTTATGATATAACGCCATCTATTGTTTTCAATACAAACTTTACACCAAAAATTTAAAAAGAAAAAATTTGGAACAGGAAAGTTTTAACAACATTGTTCTCTCATTTTCTCTCTACTTTCATTTGAAAATAGAGAGAGAAAGAGAAAAAGTGCTTGAGCTAGTTAATTTAACAACAAAAATATAAGTTCAACAATACTGAAAGACAACATTATTTATAACAGTAATAACACAAAAAAACAAACAGGATATGCGATTTGATCCCTCAATTTTGGTAGTAAAACTAAAAGACACTATTTTTTTGGTTTCGCCATGTAATATTCAACTACATAGTAAATTGATATAATTATGAAATATCGTAATAATGTAGATGTATTGATTAGATTAGAATAGAATTTGTAGGTAAGATAAATTGGCAATTATTTAGATTCACAAGGATTAATTCCAAAAAAGAAACAAAATTTGCAACAAAATACAGTAAAGATTCTTCTTTAGGACTACTTTAGTTGTGTTGATGTTTAAGAATATTTACTAAATATTGGCAAATCGTATAGACAACAACTAAAGATAATCTTTAAATAATTGTCCTAAAATTTTTGTAGAAAACCTTTTAGCAGACTTTGGTATAACAAAAAAAAAACGAACGGCATCTCAGAAAAAAAAATAACTGACATATAAAACAGCGCCATCTTGAGCGACCAAAGATTAAATACGACGTTTCATTCATTGAAATTGAATTTAGAACGCGAGGTTTACATTTTGCGATGTGGCATTATCGTTTGGCGACTAAGGCTATGTTAGCCTTTATTTTGATTGGCTGGATGGCTGGCCAATCCGAAGCTTTGACGGCATTTGGCAAGAGTATTACCGTTGGCCCTACAGTGGCCCCAACTCCGATTCCAGGTAAGTTTACGAGTATTAAGAGAGATACTGTCATTTGTAATACAAGAGAAATATAATTAGCATCATTATTGACAGCTTCTTTAATTGAGAATCACCTGACAACATACCAAATTACAACTAAATCTGTCCAGCCATTTTTGCATAAAAGAATGATAAACAGACTTCTAGAAATTCTCATAAAATGTAAAAAAAAACGCAAAAAGGTACCAACCCTCAAAGTGACACTATTGAAATTAAACTTGTTTAAACTTTTTGCTAATTTCATTGATATTTAAGTTTGTGATTTTGTTGATTTGGAAATCGGTTTAAGCGATTCAAGGATTTAATTTCAGTTACTAGTTGTTGACCGGTTTTAATTTGGTATAAATTTTTATAGTGATCCAAACAGCTTGGAACTTTTTCGTGGAATTTAAGTAAAAATCTGTCATAGATGTTGGTTAGTACCACATAAATATGAAAAAAGGTCAAATCAACATGTTTTGAATGGGTGTTTTTAGTAATGGAAAATATAGACCTTAAAGATTAATTTGGCATATTCAGCTCATTTTCAACCCAACTGTGGGTTGGTCTTTTTGCGTAAATAGGTCCATTTACAATATTTATATTAGCACGATTAGTAGTTAAAAAAATATCCGTTACGTTTAAAAAAAGAATGACAGTATCTCTCTTTTGTTATTTTTTGAGTCCATTGCATGAATTTTCATGTAGCTTTTAAACATTAGTTCGTATAGTTTTAAGTAAAACTCTATTTAGTTGTAATGTTTGTGATCACAATAATTTAGATTTATGGAGAATTTTAACAAAAAATGTTTAGTTACATATTAAATTCACTTACTGTAATATTCAATGGACGTACGTTAGTTAAAAGAGTAACTGAAACAGATACTTTATAATCTTATTATAGCGGTTCAGTTTTCATTGTAACTTAAAAGTTTTTACGACTTTTCTAATTCCAAATTGTTGGCTATGAGTTATTCTCACGGCACTCTGATAAGTTGCATAATGCGCGGTATTTTTTATTTTTCCTTTAAGACTGCTCGTTAGTTGAAAAACCAAAATGGCGAATACAGATAAAATGTTTACTACCCTTCCTGACAGGGCAAAGTATTTTTAAAATAAAAGTTCTGCCTAAATTCTCTTTCTGTTAATATTTCTTAGATGATGAGAGTCTCACCATCGACAAAATTTACGACAGAGTGCAAATGTCAAAAAATGCAATATGGCGTATTGGCGCCAAACAGCAAACAGAAATGCCGGGGAAAACGCAATCGCATATTTTTAATGGTTGCTATTTGTAATTATTTTAAAACAAACAGTAAATGTATTATAAAACGTTTAATATTTTATAGTGACTAGTATTATAAAATTGCGAATAAGTTTACAACCGTAATTTAAATAAAAGATAATTTTGTTAAAATTCTCTATTGAACTTTTAAAATTTTATGTCTCACATCAAACAACACACGTAAGTAACTAAGGTAAGTTTTTTTGTTTATTAGGTACATTATACAACTGTATTTTAATATAAAAAAGTGTGTCATATACATGTATTTTCAGCATTCTAAAATTTAGATAATTTAATCTTAACGAAGTGGGCCTTTCAAAGCTCTTAAAAAGCCAATACATTTTTAATTAAACCATAGAGAAAAAACTGAATAGAAAACTAAATAGATTATAATTATATAACATATAATTACGCGGGTAACGGCAGACTCTGAGTCTGCTTGCGACCACGACCTGTGCAACAAGGTCGAAACGTCATCCTACCAAGGTGTTCAAATCATTATTTTTAGGCGTTAATCCCGCGTAATTATAATCATGTTCTAAGTATAAAAGTGAGAATAGATTATAAAATATAATGTCAATGGTTTTTTATTTATAAAATCTGAGATTCAAACTTTTAAACAGGATGTTTTTATATTTACACGTAAAAAATGCCTCGGAACCACACACATAAAAATGCCGCAGATAAAGCATAAAACATATAATAACCTAACAAATTTCAATTGAAATATAAAAATAGCTGAAAACTCACAGTTTTTAGGTGGTAATAAGAAAAAAGTAGTCAATAAGAACTCTCCACTCGCTATGGTTCTTTTAAGCTGGTTTTCTGTGAGACCGTGATATCATCCCGGTCGAGCCGACCCATTTGTGCAGAAGCTTGGCTCTCCCACATTTAAAATTTAACTCTTTACTATTCTTTACAAACCCATACCCTTTACGTTTAAATAACATAAACACACAACTTTAATCAATACTAATATTATAAAGAAATAAAATTTGTAAGTTTGTATGTAGGGGGTAATCTTGGGAACCGCTGGTCGGATTGCCAAAATTCTTTCACTGATAGATAGCTACAATGTTTCTGAGTGCTATAGTCTAGGCACGCTACGATCGAATGGAGCTGAGCGGCGGGTAAAACCACGCGAGAGAAAGTACGCGTATAAAATTAATATATCGCGGGATATTTAAAACAGCAGCTTTTAAAACGAGAACTCACAAATCAAGTGTAATTTATATCAGCTGGGGTTGCTAAGGTACCGCAGCCTCGGCCTAGAGCAGGAGCAGGAACAGGGGGTTTTAAAAAAAAATAACTCTTTACTATAGGTACTTTACTAACCCATACCCTTTACGTTTAAATAACATAAACAGTCAACTTTAATAAGAAATATTTGAACAGTTACCAAAACATCATTATAACGTCCTGTGACATCGTTACATAACGTTTGTACGTATAAAGTTATATATGTCAAATATGACAAATGAATGATTGACGTTTATAATCTATGTTTACATTGCTACCAACATTCCGGTAATAATTATTAACGTCAACATTTGACATGTGCTTTTAGAATTGTTATTGATAGTATCGAATTTCATATTTGTAGTGAGCCTAGCTACAGCGTGCCTGTCAATTAAGAGGTCTTTAAGTACCTTCTAAGTTTTCTTTAATAGTATAGGTCGGCAAACGAGCAGACGGATTACCTGATGGTAAGCAATCAACGCCGCCAATCGACACGCGCAACACCAAAGGAGTTACGAGTGCGTTGCCGGCCTTTTAGGGATAAGGGTTTCAGTTATCTAAGTATTGGGAAGGGAAGTCATACTGTGGCACGAATGGGTCGACTCGACGAGAGTAGTACCACGGATTCACCAAAAACTGCGGGAATCAACCTCAGCGTTGTGTATCGCCGAGTGGGTCAGGTTACCGGAGGCCCAATCTCTCCCACTCCCTCATACTTTCTCAATCCAAAGATATGCCTAACTCTTATCCCCAAAAGGCTGGCAACGCACTTGTTATTCCTTTAGTGTTGAGGTTTTCCATAAGCGAAGCCGTTTGCTTACCATCAGGTAATCCGTCAGCTCGTTTGCCAAACAATTACTCGTAGACTTTTCCTTGTTTTTTTTTTTTAAATATTAATAAAACTAATTGTTTTATTATATAAATGTCAATTTAGGTTTACACGGACATGGTCCGTGGCCCTTGCCATAAAAATTGTATTCATCATTATTATTCTACTTCATATTTTTATTAGTACTGATTGTTTTATTGGATATTTTTTACTGTGGCAATCAGGCCACTCTGATTACATAAGTGGTGAAATTTGAATATACCGTGTTATTTAAATACTAGCTTCCGATCGTGGCTTCGCACACGTATAAAAGTAATGTCTCCCGGGATTTTAAAGCGATATCTCGACGAAAATTTTAAGTGTGGGAGAGCCAAGCTTCGGCACGCATGTGTCGGCTCGACCGGAGTGATATCACGGCCTCACAGAAAACCGCCGTGAAACAACCACAGCGTTGTGTTTCACCGTGTAAGTGAGGTTACCGGAAGCCCAATCCTTCCCCTCCCCCAATCCCTTAATCTCCAAATCCCAAATCCCTAAAAGATCGGCAACGCACTCGTAACTCCTCCATTGCGAGTGTCCACGGGCGGCGCTGATTGCTTACCATCAGGTAATCCATCTGCTCGTTTGCCGACCTATATCATGAAAAAAATACGCAAGCTAAGTATACATAATTTATAGCCTACCCAGCTTCACTGACGAACAGACTGACAGACGTTTCAGAAGTATCTATTTATAGTGGGAATTAATTATTTTGAATTTGACTTTGACTTTGACCTATAGCTATCAGAAACATTGTAGCTATCTATCAGTGAAAAAATTTCGGCAATCCGACCAGGCAGCGGTTCCAAAGATTACCTCCTACATGCAAACTTCAATTTTTACCTCTTTATAATATTATAGTATAGATTTGCATAGGTACTCGATAGAGGAATAAAAAGATTGACCTTAAGAAGATTTTATGCAGATAAGAAATATGATATCTGATACCCATAAAATACCAAAAACATGTAAGAAGTTTTTATATACCCTGTACCAACCGTACCATCGAGTAACCAGAGACAATACTGTATTAAATCTAAGGTTACGAATAATATTTGAATTTAGATGTTTAGTATCTACGCATTGGGTCTAGGTTTATTATTTATGGCTTTTGGTAGACTCATGGCTGAACGTTTTTATTGTATAAGGCTATGAAGTCCATATAAGTGTGGTAGAACCATGCTTTGGCACAAATTGGCCGGCTTGACCGAAGTAACACCAAAGCATCACAGAAAACCGGCGTTAAACAATGCTTACGTTGTGTTTCGCTGTGTGAGTGAGGGTACCGGAGGCCCATTTACAAGCCCCAAATCTTGCATATGGACCTCCGGTAACCTCACTCACACGGCGAAATACAACGTTAAATTTCTTATCCCCAAAATGCTGTCAAAGCTCCTGCAGCTCTTCTGGTCCTGCAGATGTCTGTGGGCAGCGCCAAAAGCTTACCATCAGGTTAATCCGTTTGCTCTTTTGCCGATCTATCACATAAAACATCTAGTTAAAGGCTACATATTCCTAAAATACCGTCAACGCATTTGCTAATCTTCTGGTGTTGAACAATTCCATGGGCGACGCTGAAGATTACCACCAGTCAACTCGTTTTGCCGA